CCGAGTTGTAAGAGGGCGGTCGTTTTTGGAAAGGTGGCCATTTTGAATTATTGTACTTGGCTGCCTTTGTTAATAAAATTTCTTCTTCGGGCGGCCATTTTGGGTTATTATATTTGGCTGCCTTTGTTTCTAAGATTTCCTCCTCTGAACTAGTTGATGACTCATTTTTCTTTGGCTCTTGTAGAGCCTTAAGATTGTTTTTATTTTTTAGTGTTTTGGATTGTTTGGGTTTTGTCTTGCCTTTGGGGCTTTTAACTTCTTCATCACTATCTAGGGAAATAAGTTCTTCTCCCTGTTCTTTTTCAATTTTATAATCCTTGGTTAGATCTGAGGTGGCTATAGCCTCCTCCTGGGGTTGATCATTTTGCATGATCTGCTCTCCCTTAGCGACCATAACGGCAAGGGCTTCTTTTAAGTACTGAACAGATAGTTTGCGCTGACTAAGCTCTTGTCCCATTATTACCTGTACTTAAAATAAAACGTAAGTAACTACTTACCAGAACATCTTCTCTTCCTCCTTCTATGTTTTTCGCTGGCCTTTCTCAGGACAATTCTCTGCTGTCCCCTTCTGGACGAGTCTCTGCCGTCCTCTTCTGCTTTCCACCGTGGCCTTTCTCTTTATTTCGGTGCTCTACACTGGATCCCTCATACCCAGGTCCCTGTTCAGGCACCACGTGTCCTGACCAGCAGGACAGTCGAACAGGTTTCCTGGGGGAGGGAGTGAGAGAAGGGACAAACACACGTGCACACACAGAGTGGAGACAATACGAGGTGCTGATTAAGTCTTCCATTTATTGAGGAAGAATTACAAGCTTATATACAGGCTGGTGGGCACTGATTGGTTGCCCAAAATGCAAATGAGATAGAACAGTATGAGCCAATCATTGACATGGGTGGATCTCTCCCATTGCCTAGAAACCCAACGGCCCCCAGGAAGAATGGTTGGTCACATGATTTCTGATAAACAGTTTGCTCAGTGAGGAAGTGAAACCTAATGGTTTCCAAGATGGTGGATAGCTCTCAAGATGGCGGACAGCTCAAGATGGCTTCCGTATGCAATGCCCTCCACAGACCCACATCACAACTCATTGTGACCAGAGCACAAAACTCTGTAACCCAGAGCACCAAACTGTGACCCTCATCATACCTCACTGAGATGCAAATCTAACTGACATGGAGAGGAAAATTAATTGATACCCACAATTGGATGTACTGATACAGAGAGCACACCCCACTTTAAGCCAGAAAATGAACTATTTGATCCAGAGCACACCTACATGTGACCACAGCACACAACACTGTAATCCTTGGCACAAAACAGTGACACTCAGCACACCACAACTAAAAGGACCTTAGAAAAAATTCATTGGGTCCCACCATTGTATGTACAGATACCTAGTGCACATCACACTTTAAGCCAGAAAACAGCCTCTATGATCCACAGCACACCTACCTGTGACCACAGCACACAACACTGTAACCTTCAGCACAAAACTGTGAAACTCCGCACACCCCACTTACACTCACAACTTAAAGGGCTCTTGAGAAAAATGCATTGAAACTCACCATGCAAAGTAATGCTGCCTAGTGCACATCCCACTGTAAGCCAGAAAAAAGCTTCAAGGACCCACATCACAACTCATTGTTACCAGAGCACAAAACTCTGTAACCCAGAGCAGCAGTTCTTGAGCTGCAGGGATAAGCTCACCCTGATGGCCCACGGGGCTCAGGTCTCATTGGTGAGATATCTCGGGCATGCAACAGGAAGAGAGGCAGACATTGCTGAGATACTGGCATTTCACCTTGCCTGTTTTCCGTGCAGTTTTTGATGTGGGATTTGTGCACTAAACAGGCACAGAGGTAGGGAGGGGTGGGACAAAAAATGATCCCCTTACCCTGGGAGAAATGGCTTTGTTGTGAATTCTCCTCCTCCTCCTCCTTCGTTCCACTTTCAGGATGTCCAGCGCGTGATCTCCAAGCTGGAGGTCTGTGATTCAAACCGTGCATTTGGCCACCAATGATGCAGAGCCTGAACCTCTGCGTGACCCACTGGCCCAGGGCTGTGAATTCTCAAAAAGACAGCCAAGGCCTTTATGCCTCTTCCCCCGACAAGGGACAAAAGCTCATGGCTCAGAAGAGGGATGACAGGGGCCAGCAGGTGGTGAGCGTAGTGGTTAAAGGCACCTGACTCCCTCATGAGAGAACACTGCCCAGGTCTTGGACCTAGCAGCTTGCTTTTTCGTTTTCTCACTCTCACTCTCTTGCTCTGTCCCTCTCTGGTTGAACTGAAAGAAATCGATTAAGTAAGACATAAATCATTCTGAAAAACAACCGACCAACAAAACTAGTGAGAGGAGAGGAAAGAGGAACTCCAGGTCCCCAGGTACCATGGGCACTCCTCATGCACTTTAGTAGGGAATGCCAAGGCCTCAGGGAATGATGTGTTCTGGCTCCACAGCCAGAAGTCTTCTTCCCGGGGGATTGTGGGTATTGTAGTCCAATGTACTGTGGGAAGTCTTGCTCCCACAGGCCTGTGGGTGAAGTAGTAGGATGCCGTGACCAGAAGTCCTTCCCGCCCCCACTGAGATCTATGGGTAATGTAGTCTGAAGCTATGACTAGAAGTCCCTCACTGGCCCCCTAATCTGGAACGCATTCCATCCAGAGGACTGGGGGAAATGTAGTCCGGCACTATAGGCATAACTCTAAGGGAGAAGGAGGGAAGCCAGCTCTGGGATCCCATCTTGTACTGGGACACTAGGACCCAAGAACTGCCATATTCCAGAGGACCCAGGGGAGGGGGATGTAGTCCCACACTCCACCCGGGAGTCTACCTCCCTCCCAGTGGCCACTGAGAGATGAAGTCTGGCAGGAGGCCCAGAGGCCTTCCTCCCAGAAGCCTTTGGGATGGTTGTTTTCCTGCCATGCCCTGAACCCTGCTGGCCTCGTGAAGACCTCTGGGAACTCTGGACCGGTGCCACGCCCCCAGGGTGGACATCTAGAGGACCCCACGCCTGCTGGTCATCCATCACTGCACACGCATGTCTTTCCCTCTGAAGCTGCTGGGAGGTGCGATTCTTTTTTTTTTTTTTTTGTGAGGTTTTCACTATAGGGCACGTGAGCTTGCCAGACAGACAGAGAGAGACATAGAGACAGAAAGTGAGAAATCACCACCCAGGGGGGATGGTCCCAGCCACAATCCCTTCTCCTCCATTCTCCTCTCAGGATCTTGGGCACACACGCACACGTGCCCGGTGTGAGTTTTAAGCCACCGGGTCCAGAACATAAACCATGTGGGAGTCCAGCGACATAGCCATTACGCTAACTGCTGGTTCCCTGGGAGGTGCAATTCTTGAGCTTCAGGGACAGGCTTCCCCTGATGGCACAATGTGACCTGAAAGTCCCCACAGGAGGGGTTTGCAGCACGGCCTGGGTCTTGTTGGTGAGACATCTCAGGCAGGCAATGGGAAGAGAGACGGACGTCCCTACAATACTGTCACCATGCCAAAAACCATTGACAGCGATGCCCTCACCACCCGTGGCTAATAAATATACTGGCTTCTCCTATCACATCCCAGATGATCCGTACACACGGAAACCTCATGATCGAATTGGGTGCCCATGGCGCCTCTGGTCAGTATGTCTTGGAGTCTCTAAGTGGGCTCTCCTTGCCCTGCTTTTGTAAACACAACAGCATCCTATGGATCTGTAGAGCTTTTTTTCCACTTTTGCCATAGGTGGCAACAGAGAGGCGGAAATGCTGAGAAAGCCCTTCAATCAGAGGGAAAAGCGCTGCATCACCAACGCTGCTCCTGCATCCCCCTCTGGATGGAAAATCTCATTTTGTATGCTGTAATGATGTACAGTGAATGAATGCAAATAAATAAATTGAAATAAAAATTGGAAATAATTGCAAACGTTGAAAAAATTGCACAAATAAAATTAGCACAGGAAAGAAAAAATACTAAAACTGTTACCAAAATTTAAAGAAAAAACTGTGTATTTGATGACCACAGTAAGCTATATAGCCCCAGTTAGGTACTATTTTATAGTATGTTCATTCTACTCACTGAGGTTTATGACTAAAGTCAGACATGGGTTCTTCTGTATGTATGTATCAGCTGTGCTTGCTATTGCAAATATTTAGACAAACTAAGTTCATCAGAAAATCAATTAAATGGGGAGGGGGAAGGCATAGAAAGCAATCATGGATACCAGAGACAATGGGAGGAGGGTGGGACATGGCAGAGGGTTAAGGATTGGGAATCAAGGATGGCAAAAAAAAAAAGCAAAATGTACAAGACATAAGAAATGGAAAATTGTTTGTTGATAACATATATGTTGATGTACTTGATTGAGCCAACAGACAGTGTATTTTGGATGGAAAATTCATTTTGTATACTGTAATGATGTATAGCATATTAATATTTTAAAAAGAAAAATTAATTAATAAAAAATAATGAGAAAAAAACAGAAATAAAAACAAAACAAAATAAAAAGACTATTCAGAATTGTGCTGCATTGTTTGACAATTCCCTGGAGTTCTTTTTTTCTTTTGCCTAAATCATGGACTTAGGATGATAATTGTGGAGTTTCTGTGATCATTTCACGATATTACATTGGTTTCAGAACAGCCAACATTTTTTTAGAGAGATTTTTGCTACAGGGTGCGTGCACTCACCAAAGAGACAGAGAGACAGAAAGCATGAAATTACCCCCCGGGGGGGTGGCCATGCCACAATCCCTTGTCCTCCCGTCTGCTCTTGGGATTTGGGGCATGCATGCACATGCACCTGGCATGAGTTTTAAGCTGCCAGGTCTGGGACTTGAACTGCGGTTGACCATGTTGGAGTCCAGTGACATAACTATTGCTACATCAGCTGGTTCAGCCAAGATATTTTTAAAGTTCAAATGTCTCTCTTGGTTTTGGAACATATGCTCAACACTTGATGTTATGCTCCAGATCCTTCCTGAAAGGCTCCAGGTCACATTTAATATATTTTTAGCATACGTAAAATACTTTTGTCCCATACTCTGTGGCAAAATGACATAAAAAGAAATTAGATTCTAGCAAGAACTTCTAAAACAAACACCTTATTGTATTACTCTTAAATTTTATTAATGTCTTTAGTTTGTGCATCATTTAAAATGAGACATGTGCTTTAGAAGCATCCAGATACATAAATAGACCAAGGAACAAGTTAAGTAATTGATTATAAAGCATGCATGTCAATTTTGTTCAGGTGTGTATAAGAAAGGGAAATAAGCTCTTAGCCGTTTTCTTTGGATTAAAAACATTTGGAAATTATTATTCAGGAATGTCAAGTGTTTTTCTGAAACAAACATGTTTACAAATTACTGATGCAATTACAAGATATTAGTGTTGAGAAAAGACTGGAAAAATGTTTGTGCTATATATAATTAATAAGGAAACAATTCCAGTGGGCATAAAACATGTATCAGATAAATAAATCAGGTAGCATGAATTGGAAGACTTAAATGAATGAATAGGTACCATGAGCCAGATTATGGGACACATATATATTCAAGGCACATGACTAGGCTAAACAGGTTGCTAGGTTCTATAGACTAATTGGTTCTTTCATTGAGGAAAAAAATATAATATAATTTCCACTTAATGGCACTTATTGATAAATAAATGCAATTAGATGTAGGGCAGCAAATGTCTTCCCTTCAGATACACACCAGAAGCACATAGTAGGTAAGAGATGCCAGAGTAGCTGAAGCAGCAGGATTGCAGTTTAATTTTCTTATATTACAATTAAATGGATGCTAAACTGTTCTGTATTGTTTCTATAAGTCATACTGTCTATTCTCTTTCAAGTTTCACAAAAGAATTCTTCAAAACTAGGTATATTAAAGAATTTATTAAACCACAAAGAATGGTCAAACTATTATTCAATAGGAGTTAACCCTAAAGTTGACTGCTGATTGCATTTAGTTTGGGCTTTTCTCAAAATGTAAATATTTCCCCATAATACATTCCTTTGTACAGCAAAAATATGAGCACATCCACTGTGGCTCCCTGATTTTTCTTTGGTGAATTAGAATAATTCCGTCTCCCCACCCCCTCCAATACCTACTTTATTCACAATACAATTGCCCTAAATATCCACAGAAGAAAAAGGAATATATAAAAAACTATAACTTCCAATAATACTTAAGTCATCATCTTCTCAAATAAACTACAATGGGAAAACAGAGGATACTGAGCCATTCACTGTATTTTGAATGATCAGCACACTGAACTTGATTCCCAAGAATGGATACCAAGAGAACAAGGGTACAAGGGTAATTCTGTGCTTCTAATAGGGTAGCAAAATGTTGCCCCATCTGATTGAAATAAAAATGTTTAATACTTTACCTGTCTGGTATCCTAGAAACAAGCAGCACCAACAATTCAATTATAATTCCCCAAATAACAACTATTCTCCATTTATATTGTTTTAAAGCACCTAAAACTCTCCAATAACAAGACATTAAGATGAGATGTTAGTAATACTCTCTGCCTCTTGAATACTTTTGTGTGCACATCCTTCACAGTTTTAGTAGACAACTCAGACTGGTAGTTTCCACCTCAGTGATAGCTTTGTATAATTAAAAACAAAAATGTTTCTCTAAGCAGATGATGCTAGTTAACAAACCAAATAAACATTAAAAGCCTTTTAGGGCTACTGCTACAGTGAATAGTTGAATCCAAAGTTCAATAGAAAAAATTGATTGATAGGACAAAGAAATCTGTAGGCACAGAACAAGATTAAAACAGAAAAAAATAAAAAAAAAAAAAAAAGAAGAAAAGGGAGAAGTGGGCTGAAGAGACTGGCAGACACCATCTGTCAGCAGTGAAAGGCTTGAGTCACATGGATTGCTTTTAACTTCTTGTTTTCTCATATCTTCGGTTAATGACAACTTCTTTCTTATTTCTTCACACAGTTTGACCATGTGAATCCACCACAGAGATATGACACAATGATATAAATGAATACCTAGAGGCAAGAGGAAGGCAGTTTTTTCTTAGCAGATTCTCCTAAATAATATATAAAGTCCTTTTATAAAATACTTCTGCTTCCATTAGAGAAGCAGTTTATAATAACAAAACACACAAATCAAGTATATTCAAAGACAGAAGTGAAATGAAAATAATCTTTTCTAATTTAACTTTCACTCATTTTAATTTGAATATGCTTTTTTCAGTGGAAGAAAAAGAAATGTTGCTCTTCATTGGTAACTAATTAAGGTCATATGAACAATTCTTATTGATGCATTGTTAGCCAGTCATAAAGATACAGCTGTATTAGCTATTTTTTCTTTGTTCAAAGTTTTTGTTTTGTTTTATACCAGAGGGTATGTGTATATATGACAGACAGAAGGATGGAGGAAAGAATACCCACCAACCTGGCCTGGTGATGCTACAATCATTATTCCTCGAATTTTCCATCCTATAGGATCCTGGGTACACGTGCACATGCCCAGAGTGTGTTTGTTTGTTTTGAGAGATTTTTGCTATAAGGGTGCATGTGCTTGCCAGAGGGCAGAGAGACAGAAAGCAAAAAATCGCCCCGAAGGGTATGGCCACACTGCAATCCTTTCTCTTCTAATCTCCTCCTGGGATTTTAGGCATGCACACACACACATGCCTGGCATTAGTTTTAGGCCACCAGGTCCAGGACTCAAACCACAGTTGACTATGTGGGAGTCCAGCAATGTAACTACTATGCCACCTGCTGGTTCCATCCAGTGTTTTTAAAGCTGTCAGGGCCATGACTCAAACCCAGGTTGGCCATATGGGTTCTAGATTCTTCTGTCATGTTATGGGTCCAGTCTGTGCAATTGCTTTTTAATTATATTATTTTAAATTCAAATTATGATATTTCAAAAATATTGGGCCGTAGGAAAAGTCATGATGCATTTTTCTGTTTTTCTATGCAAAATGCATCATGACTTTTCTGATGAATAAATGGCATTTACTTGTTCATGTTACTACATTCCAAAATAGATTTATTTTGAACATTAGATTACCTGCATTAATATTTTACTTTAAATTACAACTTCCTAAGATTTTTTTTTCTGCTCTAGGGCATGTGTGGTTGCCAGAGAGAGAGATGGGGAAGGGAAGTGAGAAATCACCCCCCAGAGATAGCCATGTTGCAATCGCTTCTCCTCCATTCTCTTCTCAGGATTTTGAGCCCACATATATATGCAACTGGCATGGTTTTCAAACCATTGGTTCCGGTCCTCGAGCCACAAAGTCAGCCATGTGGGATCTAGCCGCCTTAACCTTCATGCCATCCGCTGACTTGCAATTTTTTGAGGAGATCTTTAATGACCAATTTCATTACTCATGTGGTTGAAAAAATGCATTTTATAAAATACATGTCCTCCTCTCCTAAAGTGAGCAAAGTGTTTTGCCTTGCTTCCTTTCAAATGTAGCAGGAGTGTAGATATTTACAACAAATTTTTGTGTCTGTTTTTTATTTTCAAATTTTTTAGGTTTTTGCCATAGGGTGCATACACTTTCCAGAGAGAGAGAGAGAGGAAAAGTGAGAAATCACCCTCCCTAGGGGTGATGGCCATGCCATAGTTTCTTTTCATCCATTCTCCTCTCAGGATTTTGGGAATGTATTCACACATGCCCAGTGTGATTTTCAAGCTGCCAAATCTGAGACTTGAACTGCACTTGGCCATATGGAAGTCCAGAGCCTGAACCACCACACCATCTACTGGTCTCCAAATTCTGGTTATTAATGAACAGGTTAAACTACTCACATCATATTCACACATAAACACATACTCACATATACATATTCTATAAAGTTGACTGACTTGATATAAAGCTATTTGTCACAATTGTTAATATAAAAATTTTATTCAAGGGCTGGACCCACACATAGTCAGCTGTGGTTCCAGTCCTGGACCCAGAAGCTTTAAACTCACACCAGGCGCATGTGCATGTGTGCCCAAGATGCTGAGAGGAGAATGGAGGAGAAGAGATTGCAGTGTGGCCATCACCCAGGAGGTGATTTCTCACTTTCCCTCTGTGTCTCTCTGGCAAGCACGCATGCCTTTTAGCAAAAATTTCTCTCAAAAAAATTACTCAAAATTAAGTATAGTATGTTAGGTAACAACAGCTTTCAGTATAGACTGCTACCATATTTACAGAAGTGTTCTACATATAATAAATAACCAATATCATCTGAATTAGGGATCTAATCTGTGGTGTGGTGATTGAGGTGGCTGGATTCCACATGGACAACTGCATGGTTCAAGTCCTAGAACCAGTGGCTTGAGAAATATGAGGGGCATGCATATGCATATGTGCCAAAAATCCTGAGAGAGGAATGGAGAAGGGACTGTGGCATAGTTCACTTGTTCTCTCTCTCTCTCTGAATTTAATACTAATTCAGTTGCATAAATCAATCTTGATTCTGAGACCAAGGAATAAGGAAGAACCTAAATTCAGGAACCTAGATTGTGCCATTGGAGGAAACACTGAAGGGCATGGTAATTAATTCCAATATAAAATCAACAGATCTATGACCATTGTTCTCTGTTGGATAGGTAGGTACAGCTTTTGAAGCTTATTCTCAAACAGAGATTGTTAATAAGTAGAAGAGAGTCAGAAGTGTATGTTTAGAGATAGCTTTGAGCTTTGCAAATGGCTAGAGGAAAGGAGGAAAGGTGCTTTACCTAGTTGTGAATACCCTGATGTAAAGTACTCCATACCCCTTTGGTTGTAGCTCTCAAACTTTTGTTTCAGGACTTTTTTTCACTCCTATCAATTATTGATGACTTCAAAGAGCTCTCGTTTAGGATAGAGTATAACTTTCAACATTTACCAGATTACAAATTACAAATTACAAATTTTTATTTTATTTTTATCTTTTAGGGTTAGGGTTATATTTAGGGTTAGTGTTAGGGTTTGAGTTAGAGTAAGGGTTAGGTTAGGGTTGGGGTTTGGGTTAGCGTGTATGTATTTCATTATTTTTTTAAAATAACTTTTTTTTACTTGTTTTTATTTTAACTTTATTCATTATTAGTATTTTTTTAATTTGACCACAGAGAGACTGACAGAGACAGAGAGAGAGAGAGAGAAAGGGAAAGTGAGCCTCCAGGTTTGGGACTCGAATTGTGGTTGACCACAAGGGAGCCCAGCACCTTTAACCACTATGCCACCTGCCAGCCCCATATTTCATTAATTTAAAATAACAACAATAGGGACCAGCAGATGGTGTGGTGGTTAAGGCACTGGACCACAAACCACATGACCAGCCATGGTTGTGGTTTGAAAATACACACTGGGCATATGTGCGTGTATGCCCAAAATCCCAGGAAAAGAATGGAGTGGAAGGGGTTGTGGTGTGGCCATCCCTCCTGGTGGGAGATTTCTCACTTTCTCTCTGTCTGTCTCTCTCTGGCAAGTGCACGTGCCCTATGGCAAAAAAACTAAAATTCCAAGAGGAGACTGTAGGAGAAAGGATTGTAGTGTGACCATCCCCCGGGGTGGAATGATTTCTCAATCTCTCTCTACCTCCCCTAGTCTGGTGAGTGCACGGGCCCTATAGCAAAAACCTAAAAAAAATTATAATAAATAAATAAATAAATAAATAAATAAATAAATAAAATCTGTCTTCTATTTAAAAAAACCATTATGCATAAACAGAAATATTTTTATTTAAATTATATTTCTATGTGGTCAGTTTTATATGTCACCTTATATATAAGAAGCCTCAATATGGAGGAGGAATTTTAAGCACAGATAATAAAATATTTAAAATATTTTATAGTGACCTTATAGGAAAGTCACTGCCTGGTCATGTACTTCATCACTAAAAAAAATATATTTCATAGTGTTAATCATTGAGAAAAATTCCAGCACCTAATTTCATAGAGATTGAAAATAAAATAATACACTAAAAAGAAAACTTACAATTGAGATGATGATGATGATAATAGTGAGCTTGAGATTCTTTAT